ATTGTTAATGCATTTATAAATATTGTGAGCGAGGGTGGACTTGTCTCTGACAGAGATCTCTTCCAGTCAACCCGATACAGTTGGGAAGCGTGTCGTCAGCGGGCAGCTGAAGTGCTACAACTATTAATATTTGAAGTACATAAACAAATATATAGTTAAATAAAATATTAAAATACATAATAAAATATTACATAAATACATATACTATAAATACATATAATAACTACCTACTTACATAATAGACGTTAAAATAAATGAATATACTACCTACAATAGAAATTTAGTTGAATGATTTCAAGATTTGACAGTTCAATTAGAAAAATAAAAAATTAAAATTATGACTCAAGGAAAGAAAATACAATCGTTAATGCTATGTAATTGTATTGTATGCCCAATGTATGGGCAGGCTGTTTAAATGTCCTTCAACACGTTATGAACATCTTACGAAATATTATATTGTACAGCTCACAATAAATATTTATTCTATTCTATTCTAAAAAACATAAAAAAACTATCCTCTTTAAAGCAACACTCGTTCACGAGTATGATGCTCGAGCGATACATAATACTAACGTTCACTTGTGACGCAGGAGACAGACGAGAGCCTGAACTTCGACGAGATGATCCTGGAGGCGGCCAAGTCCATCATCGCGGCCACCTCCGCCCTCGTCCGCGCCGCCTCCGCCGCCCAGCGCGAGCTCATCGACCAGGTATGGATACTGGTTACTGAATATCACCAGGCATGGTCAACAGGCTGGTGGTAAGTGATGATAGTCGCTTATGGACGTATAGAACACCTCATGCGCTGCCTTTCCTAAAGTGTTATTACTCTGTGCCCTGTATGAAATTACAGGGTACAGAGAAATACCCCTTCTATATCTCACTCTTCAAACTGAAACACGGCAATGCGAGTATAGCTGCTTCACGCTGTTTGATTATTCGATATATTTCATGAAAAAGTAGATAGATACATAATTTATTTGCATCATTTTTAGCACACAAATAACATTAGATATTGGTGCATACTTAAAGAAAGAAATAAAAAATATACAAAAAAAAAAGTACTTAATAATTACATAATTGTTCGTGAGTGTGTCATGGTAATACAAAATGGTTCACTGCAAATATAGGCGTCCTCCAGAAGGGGAGTTGTGCCAGTAGTTTGGCAAGTGGCTTAGTGATGTGTCGAGAGCTAATCGGTGGGTGGCGGCGGCAGGGCAAGGTGGCGCGGCGGCCGGCGTCGTCGTCGGACGACGGGCAGTGGTCGGAGGGGCTGGTGTCGGCGGCGCGGCTGGTGGCGGCGGCGGCGCACGCGCTGGTGGAGGCGGCCAACGCGCTCGTGCAGGGCGCCGCCTCCGAGGAGCGCCTGGTCTCCAGCGCGCGCCACGTCGCCTCCAGCACCGCGCAGCTGCTCGTCGCCTGCAAGGTCGCCGCGCGCTGCACCGTGCACACTGCGCAGTGCACCACGCACAGTGCACCACGCACCATGCACAGCACACCGTGCACCACACACCATGCACCACACACACTGCACCACACACAGTGCACCACACACCATGCACCACACACTATGCACAGCACACCGTATACCGTACACCCTCCAAAACGGCTCAACTGTTTGTCAGCCAACTGTCAAATTAGCTGACACGTTTGTTTTATCAGTATTCTATATACTTACGCACACAATGTATCTTGACGTGTCTATATTTAATAAATAAAATGAGTGTTTACACATTAAAAAGATGCAGGAATTATGAAACATAATAAATATATAAGTTACAAAAAAATCACTCGTAACTATTTATCACGCAAAATTGTATAAAAAAGTTGAGCCGTTTTACTCGAAGCATTTGTATGAAGACACTGTATCTATATAATCAAAGACAATATCCCGTGATAAATCAAGATTAAAAGGGAATAATATATAGTAATATCTATATATATATATACTCATCCTATTATGTATATATTAAAAAAATAATATACTTTTAACATATTCAAAAATAGATATCCGACCGATATGGGCGATATCGAAATGGGAAGAACCCAATATATAGATATCATATCGGTATCTATATTACCTTTGCTTAATAAAAATATAACCTACCCATGTACTGAGTTCCATTCAAATCTATTCAGTAGTTTTTGCGTGAAAAAACAACAAACAAGCATCCATCATTACACTTATTATATTTAAAGGATTATTTTCCAGAAGAAAGGTGCAAGCCCTTAAAGAAGGCATATGGGTTCTCAGTCATATCTTTGTGCGTATTTGAACGTTTAGCTTGCATCCTGGGGTGGGGGTTACCCAACTATTTTGGGGTGGGTACAGTCTTCAATTCTGAAACTGGGCTGCACTATTGTTTTTTACAATCGATACAGTCTTAATGGATGATAATTGAATGGTAACCCCGTACCGCTATCGGTGTATGCTAGAGATGCACCAGTGGGGGATGATAGGCGAGGATGAATGCAAGTCAATTTGTCCATCGTGACGACTTGACCAATAAGCGAAGCACGCGGTTTCCGGGGAGAACCTTATAGAGTTTATTGCTGGCAATGGGGTTGCTAATCCCCATTACTAACATTCTCTTCTCTCCCCATTCGATACGGTTCACTCCCGTGATGGTAGTGATGATGTGTGACGTGTGTTGTGACGCGGCGTGCAGGTGAAGGCGGACCCGACGTCCGAGTCGACGCGGCGGCTGCAGGCGGCCGGCGCGGAGGTGATCCGCTCCACCGACAACCTGGTGCGAGCCGCGCGCGACGCCATCCACTGCGAGGAGGAGCGCAGCCTCGTGCTCAACCGCAGGATGGTCGGCGGCATCGCGCAGGAGATCGACGCCAGGTGAGGGACTAGCAGCAACAGCAGCAGCTTAGCGGAACTTGAGGCGGGCGGGTGAGGAGACAACAGGATGCTCGGCGACAGCTAGGAGAAGTGAGGAGACAGCAGGACGTTCGGCGACAGATGGGGATGAGGGGACAGCAGGACGCTTAGCGACAGCTGGGGGTGAGGAGACAGCAGGACGCTCAGCGACAGATGGGGATGAGGGGACAGCAGGACGCTTAGCGACAGCTGGGGGTGAGGAAACAGCAGGACGTTTGGCGACAGATGGGAGTGAGGGGACTGCAGGACGCTTAGCGACAGCTGGGGGTGAGGAGACAGCAGGACGCTCAGCGACAGATGGGGATGAGGGGACAGCAGGACGCTTGGCGGCAGCTGGGAGAAGTGAGGAGACAGCAGGACGCTCAACGACAGATGGGGATGAGGGGACAGCAGGACGCTTAGCGACAGCTGGGGGTGAGGAAACAGCAGGACGTTTGGCGACAGATGGGAGTGAGGGGACTGCAGGACGCTTAGCGACAGCTGGGGGTGAGGAGACAGCAGGACGCTCGGCGTCAGATGGGGATAAGGGGACTGCAGGACGCTTGGCGGCAGCTGGGAGAAGTGAGGAGACAGCAGGACGCTCGGCGACAGATGGGGGTGAGGGGAGAGTAGGACACTTAGCGACAGCTGGGGATGAGGAAACAGCAGAACGCTTAGCGACAGCTAAAGGGGGGCGATAGGACAGTAAGATGCTTGGCGACAGCTGAAGGGTGTGTAGGGACAGCGGTCAAAGTAGCGGATGATCACTATTGGTAAATGCATCACCAAGTCAGAGACCTTTTAATGAATCAATATATAATAATTGTTCTTATATTTATATTGGTATTTAGATGTGTGAAAAAAGCAACTAGGTTAGTTCCTGGTGACCTATTAACCAAGATACTCTCTTCAGTGCTGCATGGTTCCTATAGGTTCTTAATACTGACAGTCCATTCTCCCATACTGATGATATTGTCTCCGCCAGGTCGGAGGTGCTGCGCATCGAGAAGGAGCTGGAGGAGGCGCGTGGACGGCTGACGGCCATCCGGCAGGCCAAGTACAAGCTGCGGGCAGACGCCTCGGGCGACGACACCGACACCGACCTGCAGCTCGGCTACGCCAGCGACGCCTCCGGACATCAGAGGTAGCCCATCGTCTTCCTGCCCTACAATTATTTGAAATCGGAGTAATGTTTTCCTCTTTAGTTCACCAGAGGGAGACTTTGTATTGCTGTCGTTGACAAAGACAAACTATCATGTTTTTTTTTTGATGAATGAAAATGGTACGGTAACCCCGCCTGCGCTAATGGGATACGCTGGCGGGGCACCAGTGAAGGGTGATAGATGAGAATGAAAACAGGCCAGTTAGCCCATCATGATGAATTCATCTGGAATTTACCATGATAGTTTCCAGGTGGAATCGCGAGGAGGTCGACGTGGTTGGATATATTGCTAGCAATGGAATTCTTAGTCTCCATTACTAACAATCCCTTCCCCCCCCCTCGTATTGTTTTGTCAGTAACTATGCTTGCGCAATTGTTTTGATTAAAAGGACAGTGAAATTCCAGGATACCGTTGTCCTCAGGAATAACAATGCATGAGGGGTACCGAGGGTATCACATTGTATTTAGAGATGTCTGTGATGCTGTTCACGTCTATCGTTATTATCGTTATATCAGTCATTAACTGTTTATTGTTGCATATACGTCCCACCCTTGGGGGGGTTTTTCCAGTAGTTGCCATGTTTGATAAGCGGGTTGGCAAACGCAGTTAACTTTTGATGTTTTAATAGGGGTGTTGCTGCCCATTCCTCGACCTTAGACAAGGAATAACATAAAATATACCAGAGGGAGATTTTGTACAAAAGTCGATTGCTTGGGTACCTCTGTCCCATTCGTGTTTCAACCGTGGAGCAGTTGTGTTTGCATGGCTGTGTTTCGGTTTGAAGCGTGGGATATGGCGTGAATTTACTGGGTACAGAGGAATAACACCTGAGTCCTCAGGAATGGCAACGCATGGGGGGTATCATGGGCGAAACAGTATACTCTGTTATGTCCACGGTACTGGTCATGTCTATAGGCGACGGTTATCACTTTCCATCAGGTGGGCCGTCAGCTTGTTTGCCATTCTAAGTTGTATAAAAAAAAACGCAATGTAATGAACAGTAATTCAAATTCAAAATTTATTTATTTACAAGAAACATGGTAACTATATTATTTGTTGTAGTATTATATGTTAACAATAAATATAATTCCATATATTTCGCCATCAAAGTACGTTATAGTAAGTTTTACATTATAGTAAGTATAGTAAGTACAAAATGGTGACTTGTAACACAGGTTCTTCAAAACCCACCGCAAGCACCAGTCTCTCATAAAATTGGTCTTCATATCAAATTGTACCGCAAGTTGTCACTTTATACTACCTTTTGTGAAGAGAAAATAAACCATTCATTCATTCATTCATTGTTTTTAACATTTCCTTTTTCCAGATTCAAAACACCCAACAGCAGTTTCGCGAACACCACCTACAGCCCGAACAGCACCTACTCGCAACACAACACGACGCAAAACGCCACCAACCTGTCCCACAACGTGTCCCAGCTCAACCAATCCATCCACGGCACCCCACAGTACAACCAGCCGCAGCACTACACCCAGTCGCCGACTCCTGCGCACGCTCAGTCGCCAAACCCTGCGCACACGCAGACCGTGTCGAACAACGGCTACTCCCAGTACAGCCACTCCAGAGAAGAGAAATACGTCCAGAGTCCCACCTTCTCCAGCTTCAGGCCGCAAGAGGAGACGCCCAAGCAAAACTACGAAGGATTCACCACTCGGTAAGGGTGCTTTTTTTTTTTCTTTTTTGTAACCGGTCGAAGTTTATTTACATTACAGTACTTACATGAAAGCAAGCACTTATTTTACACAGAAAATATGTCACAATATTCAAAAAGGTATAGGTAGTAATGTGGCCAGAATTTTGGGAGTACTACCTTGATAAGGCATACGAGTATAGCAGCTATTCCCAAAGTGGGCGTTAACGCCCCCTTGTGGTCGCTGCCTAAAGGGGGGCGGTAAGAGACCCAGAAAAAAAAGGGCGTTGTGTAGAGGCTTGGGGGGGGATTTGTTGATCTTAAAGTAATAGTGGTTTTTAAGTATGTGAAAAAAATGGGGGCGCTAAAAAATAATTTATTCTCAAAGTGGGCAGTACACGAAATAAGTTTGGGAACCCCTGATATATAGGAAAAACATACATAAAAAAATACATATTTAAAAAAATGCATTTCAACCATTACCTGTCTACTGCGGAACATAAGCCTTCCCTAAAAGAGCAGTTTTGCCAGCAGTTGTCATGCTTTTCAGGCGGAGTGGCAACCGCAGTTAGGCTTTGGAGATGTTTTAAGAGGGATGCTGCTGTCCATCCCTCCCCTTCCTTAATCGCCCCTTATGACACCCACGGGAAAGAAACGGATGGCTTACTATTGTAATCCTTTGGAGGAAACAATAAATTTACAGGGTACAGAGGAATAACACCTGAGTCCTCAGGAATGGCAACGCATGGGGGGTATCATGGGCGAAACAGTATACTCTGTTATGTCCACGGTACTGCTCATGTCTATAGGTGACGGTTACCACTTTCCATCAGGTGGGCCGTCAGCTTGTTTGCCATTCTAAGTTGTATAAAAAAACCCAACTGCGGTTGCCAATCCACCTGCCAAGTGTGGCAACTACTGGCAAACCCCCCCCCCCCCAAGGGGGAGACTTATGTCCAGCAGGGAACAGTTCAGATGCTGGTATAACTTCAAGAAATATGAATGCACAGATGCACGAGAGCTAATGTTTATTTAAAATACATTTAGTGTAAATAAACTTCGACCATAAACGTATATTAATACAGTCCAATTTGGAAGTCTCTATTTCAATTTCTATTTTCCAATATTAATACCACTAATTTTCCAGCTATATCCCGGCTTCACTAAGCTATACTGGATCTCGGCTTCTATCCTTGTCTAATCTGTATCTATCTCTTTCCCGCACGCTGCCGGACAGATGAAAAAGAATAGTCAGAATCAGTGCCTTTCAATCACACTTATGACACGTGCCTACTGTACACTTTTCTATGCGATTTGAGTGTTTAGTTTTAAGGATACCTCCATTTACTATAATAATAAGGTTCGTTTTACTTTAATATCTATATGTAGATTTATGTACAGACGATCCGACCAAACATATATTGTCCTATCGTTTTTTATGTATAAATATATTATGTTAATTTTGTATATTTTTATAATTTTATTTTTAACGCCATCTATTGTCGAGTAGCCGATACTCTGTAATAGATGTTTCTGGCAGGATATCAGTTTAGCCCCTTTGTAGGATAATTTATTATATTTTCTATAACCCAACTCCCTTATTCATAAAAACTAAAACCTCATAATCTATTTTAACTATTACACTGTTTTGTCACTTTCATTCAAACTGAGAATTTGGTGCAAAAGAGGCAAAACAGTCCAATACCAAAAATAGGTATATGAGAGGGGTAAATCTTGTCCCATATTTAATTTAAAAAGAAAAACATTGCGGTGACCACAAATATTAATTGGGATAAAGGAAAATCTATTCACACTCCATCTGTTATTACGTGAAATATGAACACAGACATACGACAAAACACGCACACAAAGTAATATCTCAAAAAGTACTAGCGTACATGTGTATACATGTGTGTACATGTGTGTGCATGTATATACATGTATAAATATTGAATGTATAATTTTAATATCTTTACGTATAAAGGCAATATATGTTTTGGATCGTCTTCGCTAATAGTTTATTGAATGCTTTGAAATTCGTTCAGCTAATAAACATTTTGACTGGCACGTAAACAAAATGCCACCTGTCCATACAAAAGTACAACAAAGTACATTGATACATACAAACGCCTTTAGTTGGCGACAGTTTAACCTAATACCTTTTGTAATACCAAATACTTGACCAATTTCACCTTTCTATGCATTTTCAATTCTTATTTTTTTTTTTATCTTTATATTTCACCAGTACAATTCAAAGATTGCTAAAACAATCTCTTCCGGACGAATTCTCTTTCGAATCTTAATAAATAAAAATGCCCTATGACAATATTAATTCACGCAAATCTCCGAAACCATTATTGATTGCTCCAACTTGAGAAATAGAATAGTTTTTATTTTAATAACAAACAGTGGATATAGTAGGTGACGATAAACTATCCACACCATACTGTCCACTGCTGTACATAGACCTCCCCCATAAGGGGGGGGGGGACCACCAAAAGTAAAAGATGAAACTATCAACTAGGTTTCAATGTAAATTCCACCAAGTGCCGACTTTACAATTGATTTGTAATTAAAAATTTAATCCATCCATCTTTCAATATATTTAGCTAACAATTTCAAAGTTTTTAATTATATTAGCTGTAGACTTTACTTATAGTAAGATGATACAAACAAGCGCATGGCTTCACGCTTGTATTGCCTATAGCGATGGGCAGTGTCCATACGTACTGCTTACGTCTGGGTAGTGAAACTATGTGATACAGATTTTCGATCTTGTTAGAAATGTATTGGCATTGTTGAATGCCATGAATGTAAACCATAAATAAAACGAGTATTTTTTGTTAATTTCTTATTCATAAAAAACTAAATCCTATAAACCTTCAACTGTCGTGTATGTTATGTCACTTTCTGTTAAATTAAAAATTGTGATCATAGAATAAAGACAAAACACTTCAATAGCTGAAGGTTCGTTGGAAGTTTCTATGATTAAGCGGATTTATGTGTAATATTAACTTAAAAAAATTGTTTACAATTAATCGAAGATCTGTACAAGTGAAACTTGTATAGTTTTATACTGTTCCGCACCGCAGACCGGTCGTCGAAGCTTGTCACTGCGTTATTTATTATTTTACTATTAATTTCTAGTATATATTCAAATAATATTTCGATTGCAGAAAAAACACATCCAGTAATGACAGAACGATGATCGATAAGTAAGTCGTCAAAGTAAACGAACGCTTCCGAACAAATAAGCTTGTACCATATTTACGTTTTCAGACGCGTGGCTTACCCCGTCCGCGCTGTTACAAAACCGAAATTATCGTTCTGTACATAAATTGTGTGATCTAATTGTGTTTGCGACACGATAAAAGTAGTTTTTGTATCCTACTGCTATTTGGTAGTAAGCCTGAGTAGGATCTAATGTACTCTAATAACTAACTGTTCTAATTTTGACTTTTTTTTGTTTTTTATCTTTCGCCTAACCTGCATGCGGGTATCTAACATAAGTAGAACGAGTATAACTGAGGAGACGGTTGTCGTGAAGTCGTTACATCTGCCGGAAGTCCGTACGGCTTACTTGGTATCAGATGATGGGAAAGAAAAGGAGACAATATTCTTCAAGAGCGAGAGGCGGCCGCCGCCGCCGCCGCCGCCGCCGCGTCGCATCTCGAAGCCAAAGTGCGAGGACAGCGCTAGCTCTTGATTGGGTTGGTTGACTATATTCTTGAGAGCACTGGACTCCATGTGCACACTTGGGATATGAATTTTTTTTATTAGTTTTTCATAAAATCATTGGGAAATTTGACACCATCACATTTGAATGTCAGAATGACGACGTCAGGGCTTCAGTAGTAACTAATTTTATTTACTTTCTTTTCTTTTTTTTTTTGGTTTTTATTTTTTTTACTAAAAATTCTTGTGATTAATTTTGTGTGTAATGCATGCTGCATGTCGGTGTTGGTGTCTCATTGCGGTTGAGGGTTTAATTACTTTAAAAAAAATAATCGACTAATCAACAAGTAACATTACAGCTACGAGACCCGCCTGTACGACACCCCGCGGCCAGTTAACGAGTACAAATCTGAAGAGCGCCATTTCGAATCCAGTCACTATCAAAAAGAGCAAAGGTCCAACTACGACACTCCTAAACAATCCCCATTGAGCCCTAAATTCAACGCCAGAGAATTGAAATTCGACGACAAACCTGAACCTATATATTCAACGCTCAAAAAACCCGGCACGCCCAAGTCTCCCTTCGACGGCGTAGGACAGTCGTTCACAGAACACCAGAAGTCGACAGAAGCGATCCCAGGCGGTACGAAGCAGTCCGAATATACAATCAAAAGCGAATCCTATCACACATACCCTAAAGTAATCAAAACTGAGACTAGACAAGAAGTGAAGTCACCCTTCACGGCCTCCACGCCGTCCAAATTCGAGAAATCCGATTTCAACCAATTCACCGAGTTCGGGAAGACGTCCACGGAGCTAGTTAAAGCGGCGACACCGGACTACGACAGGATCTCGTCGCCGTACGGCAAAGAAACTTATAGTTACGGCGGACCGAATTACATGGAAGAAACCACCACAGAAGTGAAGGACGTACCCAACGGCACACAGAAAGTGACGACCACAAAGATTTACAGCTCGTCCCCCGTTACGATCACGAGTACTAACACGAAATACGAGCCGATAAAACTCGAAGGCATCGACGAACTATCCAAATCGTTCGATAACGAATCGAAGTACAGCACAATCGATTCACGGTTCAACACATTAGAATCGAAACTCAGTTCCGACACGAGCCGCTCGTTCATGAGACCTTCGGACTTCCAATCGTCCGACTACCAAGCGACGACGACGGTGACCAAAGTGAAGAAGCCCAGTGAATTGGTGAAGGAAATGGACAATCTAGACAAGAAGTTCTCGAAGCAAACGATCACATCGGAGACAATCGAAAGGAAATCTGTAATGACCAGTTCCCACAAATCGGAGACCAGCTCGACGGTGACGAAGAAGTTTGGCAACTTCTAAAGGTTTGACATGTGTTTTGGATGTGTTCAATATGTGATCTGTACGAACTATGTATTGTTACGACATGTGACTTTTTAACGCTTAAATTTTAACGCACGTTTCGACTTAATATATTTTATATTGAACATTGTGAGTTCTCGTGATTTGAAATGTCAATTTAATAAATTTTATACATATATATATATAAGATTCGTTAAACAATGACATTGTATTGTAATGACGGACAGCTCCGCACTGTTTCAGCATTTCGAATCCCTGGACTAAGCAGCGGTGCTATATTATTTCTCGTTCATCGAACACGCGGTGCCTATTGCATTTTAGAATTACATAACTGTTACTATGGCGGTTGATATTTTGAAACGTTTATCGAGATGCAGGGGTCATTATTACGGGTCAAATTTTTATGAATAATTTTAATATCTGAACTAAAATATGTACTTATAAATAAAGAAACAATATTTGAAAATCTCTTTAAATGTATGTTTTATTTAAAGATATAAATTTAGTATATGCATGAGTGGGGAAACTAGAGTGTTGATAATGACTCCTGCAATATTTCATACAACAAACTCGTCGACATTAATTGAAAAAAAAAAAATAAAGAAATATAAAAATAATTAATTGAAATTTGATCTTTGTTAAAAAATTTATATTATAATATTATACAATATAACAATAAATTATATATTGCTTATTTTTATATTGTATAATTTTTATACATGGTGTGTATGAAATTCACAGCTTTTATATACCTGTCAGTCAATGTTAACACGTTAACCGATCATTTGACAACATTGTACTAATATCAACACATTTGTGATGACTGTTTCCGTTCACTAGTGGTTTTAGAACACCCCATATTATATGTAGCACATACAAACACATACAAAGCTATACCACCATAAACACCATGTATATTTAAAAAAAAAATATATTAATATAGACGGGTTTGATTATATTCGACTATATGCATTATATCGTGTGAATTGCATTCGAAAAATGCATCTCGCTTAAAATTATTAGACATGCGTGTAAAGGAAAATATGTATAGAAATATTGTAAACGAAAAAATTAACTTACAAAAAATAAAGAGTAAACAATTTTGAAATAAACTCCGTCTCGGTAACTTCTTTGAAGACTGAATGATGCTTACGATTGTCCATTTTAATGATTATCACGAATTGTAAATTATATAGATGGGTAACGTAAAATTTTATAAAAAAAAAAAAAGCCAATGTAATGCGTGTAGCCGAATGGAGATTATATGAATCACAAAGTGCTAACCCCGCGGGGACCTTATTCTTGTTGCCTTCACGTCAAATTGTATTGAAATTATTGTCCCGTACAGGAAGGGACTGGCTCTGTAAATGCAAACACAGTACCTTCTGGGGTAATCGTTAATTCTGGCATCTCGTCTATATTGCTGTGTGTTAGGATTCTCAAACTTGACAGAAATGTATATGTGGACATATAAATATTTATATAATAGTGCGCCACCTGCCCTTCGTCTTTTTCCCAATGTCCTCTACCCAAAGGTTGTCTGGAAGTGATTGCTTAGCGATAAGGCCGCCTCTTGTATCACTTCTCATTAATATTTACTGTATTTGTTATTTCCCTTTTTACTTGGTGCAATAGAGTGTAAATAAATAAATAAGATTAGCGTAATCAGTAACATCCCAATGGGAATTATATAATTAAAAAAGACATTATAGAATTTTTTAACACCAGAGGGCGCTACTCTCCTGCAGTAAATTTATTTTTAAGAGGTACATAAGTACAGAGTTACAAGTACTGTGTTTGTATTTAAAAGGAGTATATTACCGCGTGTGCCATTAAAGTGTATTTTTATGTTTAACAACGTGCCTTTATATATATGAAAAAAAAAAAAAAATCTCAATGGGGCTTTGTGTAAGGGAGAATAAAAGTTAAACCGACGGACAAACTTCCTACATTTATATATTATATTATATTATTCGCGCACATAATCCGGGTACATGATTTACTGTTCACCCCAAAAGTTGACTGGTAGAGAGTGCTACTAGCATCGAGTCCGCCTTTTGTACCATATTTTTTTTTTGTTAAATATATAAATAAATTTCTCTTATACATCGCCCGTATCTTATAAATGTGCCATTAAATAAATAAAAAGCCATATATAATAATAATAATGATATTTGTACATAATTATACAATATGTAATTTAATTATATTTAGATTTACCGTCGTAGTGATTTGTCTGGTGCAATTCATTCTCGCTAAGGTAACATTAACTACCCGCTAATGTACTCTTAGAATATATTTATATATCTAACGAATACTAAGATTTGAAACTATAATAATACCCAAGTATAAAAAAAAGTGCTTCTCGTAATCTTAGATATTTAAGTATAATTAAAAATATGTACGGGTTAAGGGACAGGTTGGCGAACTGAAACATTGTATTCAGACCTTTATTCTGAACTGAACATCAATGGAAAAATCTTTATTTACATTCATGTAATACATACATACATTCATATTTGTCACGCCTGTCTCCCATTATGGTAGGCAGCAACAATGTAACGCCAAATGCTTCGATTCAAACAGACCTCTTTCGCTTCCTCCACATTCATCAATCTATTCATACACGCTCGCCGGTTACGGGTACTTTTAATTTGGCCTTTTTTATATTTAATTCATGTAATCTATGATATTATATAAAAAAAAAACAATATTTTATAGTATGTAGTTGTTTGGAGGAAATAAATAACAACTAACTTGATTATATTATTGATTCACATATAATGAGAGAATGACAGCAGAAATGATTGTGAGAAGGAAACGTCGCCGTCATGTCTGTACGTCCAGTGCGAAGGATAGAAAGAGGTGAAAATATCTATGTACAATTAAATTAACCTACTTGATGGAAAAGAAAGTAATGATGTTGACAAGTGGCTATGAGATGAATATTTACAATATTTATTCACAGACGCCACGAGTAAAATACAAACCAAATTTTAATATACTTATTAAAATCTAATATGAAATCAGCCGTTTAAAGTTAATGCCACAAGCGTACGTAAACTACGTACGAAGAAGCAGCGTTGACTGCGCGCGCGCTGTAGGTATCGCGCGTCGTGTGGATCGTACAGTTGCAAATACATTGCGCGGCGTCAACACTGACAATCGTCAACTATATAGCGTGGTGCATTCCGGCGGGAAAATAATATGCCGTCTGATTCAGAACATTCATCTGAATCAGCTGCTTTCGTTTTTGCCAACCTGCCCCTTCCACCCTATGTATAGTGACAGCTAAAAATTATATTTCTAGGATTATGCAAAAGTACTTTTGTCTACTAATTATATTGTAGATTGCTTTGCGTAACGTGTTTAATGCGATAATCGATTCATAAACATTTTTATTCTTTTTTTTTTTTTTTATAGCCAGATAGTGGCAGTGTCGTCGGCGCAGGTAGCGTGAGCGACCTTACTCCTAAAATACAAAATGTAAACACTCTTGCAATGTATTATAACTTTATATAATACACATTTTAGAGTTGTAACGTGCCTTATTAATTTGCAGCTTCAATATATATATGTATTCCAATAAAATATTTTTCATATATTACTGTTTGTTAGTGTAGTGATGCCCGCGAAAGCGATTCGTCCACTGAAGGTATTGTAACACCAATTCTCATAGTTTAGATTTATATTATACATAGTTGTATGTAGTACAACGTATATTATATTATATATTTTCATGTCTTTGAAAAAATTAATGAGAAATTAATGTATTTACCGTGTGAAAATATATGAGAGGTAAAAATAAATTTATTAATATGGCGTCTTACTATGGGCGCGTTTGCTTCGTGTACAGGAATGTACTAGAGGCGACAGATTTGGGCTAAAATCGTGTCTTATTAATTAATGTAACTTCGATATGTAATCATTTAATATTTTATACATTTACTATTAATATTAATTCCCTATAGGACTAAACGACTCCTTATTACTATATTCAAAATTAGTTTTTGATACGTATAGTTCATACAAATAGTACATAAGTGGTATGATAATCTGTAAGTAAATATAAACTGTGTCAACAATGGAAACCAAATAAAAAAAATACTAATTATTACGTTTTAAAATATTAATTTATGGATCGGTTTTGATTTTGACGACTTTTTGTTAATTATTTTGAGATTTTATTCACTTTTAGTGTTAGTTGCAAACTGAACCGTGTAAAGTTCGCCCGATGTACGGTATTTACTTATATTTGTATTTAATAAACTTAACAAATAGACTGTCGTATTGTTTTATTTTAACACTTAATAGATAAAGAATAGAGGATGTTGAGTGACTATATCAAGGCAGAGCTGAAACTGCTGACTACTTCAGTATTATGAAATTATGTAGCTTTTTTTTATACAACTTAGAATGGCAAACAAGCTGACGGCCCACCTGATGTAAAGTGGTAACCGTCGCCTATAGACATGAGCAGCACCATGGACATAACAGAGTATATTGTTTCGCCCATGATACCCCCCATGCGTTGCTATTCCTGAGGACTCGGGTGTTATTCCTCTGTACCCTGTAAATTCACGCCATATCCCACATATAGATAGGTTCAATGTTTATTTGCTTATTTATTTCATCAACTGGGAACTTTACAGTCTCCCAATACGCTCACCCAAGAAAGCATCAGTACTGTAACACATATGTATAATATTAAAAAGATTTAATTCACATAACAATAATAGAAATAACATTAGATTTTAAATCTCTGAACACAAACACTCCGTGGTCATCCGACGAAACTCCAGCAAGCTGGAGGCGAGCACGTCTAATTGTGGATACCGGCTCAAAACATCTTTGAGCAGTTTCAATGCTAGAGAGAGGGGAGCTTGCTTGGCCAACTCTGTTCTTCTTAACGGAACATCAAATAAATTCCTCGCACGTAGTTACTGGGCGCTCCTATTAACATTGATACCAGCAATTTGGTTACATCCCCCCCCCCGTACTAATTTCAATATATAATCAATTAAGCACTATCTTCCACGCACAACCACTGGAATCCTTCCAGAAAACTTCCAGCAGCAGTATTTCCGAACCGATACGACAACATAACCTTCAAGAAAAGAGTATATTTTCTATAAAGGCCGGCAGCACACTTGCAATGCCGCTGGTGTTGCGGGTGATCATGGGCGGCGGTAGTCACTTACCACCAGGTGAGCCGCATGCTCGTTTGCCCCCTGTGTTGTAAAAAATAAATTATTTCCATCTTCAAGTGTATTATAACCCACTGTACCCAATAAAAACATACTCAGGTATATATGAGGATAAAACCTTAAAACCATACTGTTTTTGGTACAGCCATCTTACGAATTTATTTTGGATTTTATCTAAATATATTTAGACTAATTTGGATGCCAATATAAAGCATAAGTGGACAATAAGAAAGTAATTTTGAAAGTCAACCCCCTTAGGGAGTAAAACGTCCAATCGTGGGCAAAAGCTAGTCTATAATAAAATTGATCCAAACCATGTCTGAACAAGCGAGAAATTATAAAAAGATTGATATGAGGGGCATGACCAATTTTAGTTAAAACTAAAATTTTTATCTGTCCATTTGTTCCCACATAACGCAAAAACTACTGTACCATATTAAATGCGGTTTACACAGTCCTCACCCTCCTGAATTATATGACTTACAATAAAAAACGTATTAACTTTTGGAAAAAAAAAACTAGCGTGACAATCACCACAAATACCACGCTTTGTTTCATGAAAACACATATAACTGGTCTTTGCCGTGTTAAGAGTCAATAGGTTATAATTGGGGGGGTAAGGGATTATTAGCAATGGAGTTTGACAGCTCCATTGCTAGCAATATGCCCTATTAGAATAGAATAGAAACATTTATTGCCAGTAAGCTTACAATATAAAATATAAATAACATATACAAAAAGTGTCCCGGAACCGGCTCAGCGGATGCTGTGAGTGTCCCAGCGCAATGTGAACAGCTGCACAGCGCTGGTTCTCAGCCAGTCCCTCTCTTAGCTTTATTTATTAGGTCTTAGCTGTATTTATTAGGTCTTAGCTGTATTTATTAGGTCTTAGCTGTATTTATTAGGTCGACCTTCACGTGGTTCCCTCTGGAAACCATCGTGAACAATTCTTGTTGAATTCGTCACGATGGGCTAACTGGCCTGCTTCATCCTCACCTATCATTCTTCACTGGAGCCCCTCCGGTGTATACCGATAGCGCGGATGGGGTTTCCATTCCATTGTCACCCATTAAAAAAATAATAGGTTATAATTCAACCATTGTCTGAGCCTCGCTATGCCCCTTTCTGCTTTTTTGAAGACTTCCGTCCAAGAACGATCCCGACATCACAGTGTAGTCAACATATTATTTCTGCATCAACATTTAAAAGTAAATCCATTATAACATTTATATAAGTAGACTAGCTGACTCGGCAAACGTTGTTTTACCATTTTTTTTTTATACAACTTAGAACGGCAAACAAGCTGACGGGCCACCTGATGGAAAGTGGTAACCGTCGCCTATACACATGAGCAGTACCATGGACATAACAGAGTATACTGTTTCGCCCATGATACCCCCCATGCGTTGCCATTCCTGAGGACTCAGGTGTTATTCCTCTGTACCCAGTAAATTCACGCCATATCCCACCCTTCAAACCGAAACACAGCCATGCAAACACAACTGCTTCACGGTTGAAACACGAATGGGACAGAGGTACCCAAGCAATCGACTTTTGTACAAAGTCTCCCTCTGGTAAATGCCATAACCATATACGCTATTTTGAGAATTATACATGAAAATTTATCGTAAAAGCGTGAAAATTTGAGGTTGTATGTATTTATCAATGCTAAATTATAATAAAATAAAAATTGAAAAATTTGTCAAAAAATAATTTCTTTTTGGGGAGGGTCACCCTTATCGTTGAGGGGTATGAAAAGTAGATGTTGGCCGATTCTCAGACCTACCCAATACGCACACAAAATTTCATGAAAATCGGTAAAGCTGTTTCGAAGGAGTTTGGTAACAAACACCGTGACACGAGAATTTTATATATAAAATAATGAATAATAGAGGGCCGAGAATGCTGCCTTGAGTTACACCAAAAGGTACATTCAATGGCGAACTTGAATGCCCCTCAATTACAACTGTTTGTTTTCTATTTAACAAGTAGCTTTTAAACCATTCTATTGGAAGTCCTCTCACCCCAGCAAGTTCGAGCCTACGCAAGAGGATATCATGTGAAACCGTATCGAAAGCCTTCGAGAGATCAAGGAATATTTCTTTTTTTATACAACTTAGAATGGCAAACAAGCTGACGGGCCACCTGATGGAAAGCGGTAACCATCGCCTATAGACATGAGCAGTACCATGGACATAACAGAGTATACTGTTTCGCACATGATACCCCCATGCGTTGCCATTCCTGAGGACTCAGATGTTATTCCTCTGTACCCAGTAAATTCACGCCATATACCACCCTTCAAACCGAAACACAGCCATGGAAACACAACTGCTTTACGATTGAAACACGAATGGGATAGAGGTACCCAAGTAATCGACTTTTGTATAAAGTCTCCGTGGTGGACCGTCAGCTTGTTTGCCGTTCTAAGTTGTATAAAAAAAAATACTACCTTCTCAAGAATATTAGATGTCAACACTTTGGGTCCATTTTAGAGCCATCTTTATGTACATGGGTAAGCATCAGTAAGCTGGGTACACCAATACCCACCTATAGTTTATTTTCCCTGCCTGACCGTAAAGGAAAAGATCTTATGGAAGGATACGTACAAATAAAACAACTTGTAAATTTTCATTGCGTGTAATATAAATTTTGATATGACAACATACAAAAATAACATAAATTCAGTCTGCAAATTAACAAGCAGGTATTTTGCCGCAAAACAACAATATTCAATCTTACATTACAAACAAACTCGGATCTAAGGCAACGCGTGTGTCTACCCGCGCCATTATCTATACAAATAACTGGAATAATTCGGCAATCACATTTAGCCAATTGGAGCTAGTTAAAGTTATGCAGAAACAGCGACATCTGACGAAGAATATAAACTAAAACCAAAGTATAATATTAGCTAATTATCAACTTCTAAAAGATTTATTTATTCATTAGTACATATATGTGTACATGGCGGACTTAATGCTAGAAGCATTCTCTCCCAGTCAACCATAGGGAAGTGTCAGAATACTCGAATGCGGTACTAGTAATTATTGATATACATACATACTAAAATTACATATATACACGAATAAATATATATAAATAACAAATATACTTACACATATATGACATATACTATATTATACACGAAATTGAGAATAATATAAAGCACTTATTGCTCGGATAAAGTAAAAAAGTGAACGTGAACGTTTGCTCTATTCAATTGTATTTTTTTTTTTATTTTTATGTTTGTTACATAAGAATTCCATTAATTATAAACCAATTTGGAATCTTCTGTTTTTATTTAAAAGGATATACTTACAGATTGATCTCCATAGAAATTTTATCAAAATTGGTTCAGTATTTTAATTTTTAAATTATTTTTTCACGATTGAAATGGATTTTTTTCTCCTTGATCACAATCTTATATATTTATGAAGGTTGTCTTGAAAAGATTGCTCTCAGCAATAAGGCCGCCTCACTGTACTTATACAATTGTATCGTTGCGTTTGTAAATTGTCTTGCTTATTTCCTATATTGTATAATGCAAATAAAGTATACTCATTCATTCATTCATTTAATAATGCGAAAGAAAATATAAGGAATAATCTAAAAATACATACAATAGAATCAAGAAAGATTCCTGATTGGCAACCACGTACGAGCAAACGCAGTGTAGGACGAGCACCCACTATATGGAGTGATAACCTAAAATGCACTGTAGGTAGCGAACGCGTGAAGACTTGAAACTGATTTAAAATCAAGATTCGTATAACAGTTTATAATTTACATATTTCTGTATAACTAGCACCAATTGTGAAGCCGTTTCAATACAAATCAACGAGAATGTAACCAAGTCTTGTTGGTTATTATACCAGGAGCACTCTCTATATGTAATCGGTAATAAATCGATCGATTAATCGATGTTTGATCAGGCCCTGTAGACAAGTGGCAAGCGAATTCGTCGATGGAATCGACTTCGCTAACATGTCCGTGAGATAGAATGAGATAGCAACGTCGAATGTCTTATTCCAACTCACGAATTCGCTTGCCACTTGTCTAGAGGGCATGTACTA